ATATATATATATATATATATATATATATATATATATATATATATATATATATATATATATATATATATATATATATATATATATATATATATATATATATATAAATTTTTATTACATATATTGTAGTTATTATTAATCAATTAAAACTTCACCATTTTTATCTTTTATAAAAATCTTGTCTTTGATATTTTAAATATTGTGTGAAAGAATCGTTTTACCATATTATATTTATTAAATTTTGAATAATTTATTACTATTATGTTCTTTGTATTCACATTTAAAATTATTTTCTCAATTGATGTCATTCTTGTTCATTGAATCTAATCAATTTTGATTAGATTATGATTATATCATTTCTAATATTTTTCGATCCCAATACCAATTTTGTGAACTATGTGCAAAACAAACAACAGTTGTGTCTAGGGGGCCTTAAATTATGGACATCTTTTAGGGAAAAAAGGTGTCCATAAGAAAAAATAAATCATACCAATAAAACAATATCAATTTTGATCTGCTGAACTTACCACAACAGTCGCAAATGGAGCACGAGAAAAACCATTTCCGAGCTTTTCCTCCACATCGTTCTCCATTCTGTTCTTATCGACAAAGCAAAGTACAAAAACTGCAATACCAACTCCACATTCCAGTGCAAGCTGGTAAATGGCAGTGAAAAAGAAAAAGAAGGGGAAAATGTTATAGTTGGACAAGCTCTATGCATATTGATTCACAAGTCAAAATATTAAATAGTCAAAATGGTAACATCTTCCACATACCCAGATGAGACTGGTGGCCATAAGAGCCATAAAGGTGACATAATTTTTTCTCCCCACACAATTATTAAGCCACTGTAAGCAAATGAGAATATAAATGATAAAAATTCTTAGTATTCAACAGAGAACAAGGAAAATAATTCAAGACAAAATTACCCGACAATGGTGATCAAACCCATCCACACATTTATCACAGCTTCTACAGTGTTTACTATATCTGCGCACCTGCAAAATAAAAAGATTCAACAAATGATGATGTTAAGTAGAAGTCCAAACTGAAATGACCGTGTACCACAAAGCAAAAAAAAAAAGAACATTCTGCAACATTATGATTAGATGCTTAACAATAGTAACCACAAACAGACAAGAGAAACCAGTGGTAATACTTCATCACCCAGGATAATCTGTCTAATTTTCATCTAGTGGCTACTTAGGAAATCAGATGCTAGAGATGCAAGTTTTAGTCACTATTATTTAGTATGTAATTCTAATCTAAAGCATTATATTCAAATGCAGAGATTTTAATAAGTAACAAACTAGTAGTAAATAAGAAACAACAAAAGAACCTGATGTAGGCAAGACTGTGAAGTTATGAAATACAATTATGTCTTAAATTACCAATGTATACACAAGATTTTAACTATGGATAAAGTGAGTGAAAGATTCATACCTCTTAAAGTCCATTCTACAGAAAATTAACTTTATGAAAGAAGAAAGACTCAACATTTGCCTCGTACCTCAGTTGGTATGATGCTCCTCCAAAGCAATAAAAAGTAAAAGAATCAGAAAGGGAACTAAAAATTTTGTTTTATCTGATTAGTGAGAAATGATCTGTTAAGTTTTTGCCATATATGGAGAGAAGTGGAAGAGTAGAAGGCTCTCCCATTACTTTTTCTTTATTATAGCATCCACAACAAGTCCAATCCAATAAAACCTATAGTATTCAATGGAGGGAGAAGCCTGTTTTGTCATCTTTATGAATAGTACTAAGTTGAAAAGACACAATCAGAAAGATATGAAGATCCATGGATTCATTGTAACACTTTTTTTTGACCTACTATTCAAGAACAACACCTGCTAAAGGTTAGCTAATGCATGACCAAGTTATTATAAAAGTGAAGCTTTGACAATAGAAAATCACAACTCAAATATCAAATCTAGCACGAAGGATAGGTTCTACTGTAGTGAGCCCAAAGCGTCAAACTTTCATATACAGTATCACATAAATATGACTAGACAAAGTCCAACATAAGCATATTGTATCATTTTTTCACCGAATGACCAATTCAGCAATTGCCTTATCTGCATTAAATGTGAACTTACTGCTGAGCAACTGATTCCATGGCTTCATTAAGAACTTAACTTGAGCCCTTTCATTACACTGAATGGTGATTAAACAATAGCCTTATATTACATACCCAAGAACTATTTTTAATGTCCACCAAGTACTCTGAATACAACACTCACAGGGATCAAGATATCTAGATGGAGAACATGCAACAAAGAGCAGCAGATAAACGAGCAATAAAAGAACTAAAAGGCAAGAAAGAAGATGAATGAGCTGTACAATATGCCACAGCTGTAAAAAATATGGTAAACAAAGGAGCTAACAAAGCAATCTTGGCAAGATCTATCTATGCTCAGAGAATCTAAATGCATTGCTCAAGTTCACATATATATTAAAGATTGCTTGGTAGTAAGGTGTATAGATAGATATATATAGAGATATATATATATATATGGCAATATCTATCTATGCTCAGAGAATCTGAGTGCGTTGCTTGAATATATGTTCACATATTTATTAATGTTTGCTTG